ATATATATTTGCAGGAAAATTTGTTTTTCTTTATGAAACCTAGACCCAAACATGATGAAGATGATAAGATCATAGAAATGGTTACTTCAATCTCAATTGTCATATAGGCGCCACATAGACAACCATAGTACATAGGCACCATAAGTTATAGAAATCCAGCTCAAACCCAAAACAAATTAGGCGTGAAACAACAATTGCCACTAAACATGGCAAATTTTAGTCGAAATACTAATTTTCGGCATGTTAATTACTCATATATATATCATTGACCCAATACATTTTACCTAGAAATCCAAATCAGAAAGTGACCAACTATGTAACATTTAATATCTTTAAACATAAAAGTAAGGATAAATAATTATAAAAAGGCAACCAACTATTTGTTATATGTCCCTTACGATATTCCAAAAGTCGCATTCTACATCTCTAGACAGCCTTTGACTTAAATACTGAAATACATATCTTTAGATGTTACGAAAAGATAGTAATATTTTTACTATGACAATGTCCAATTACCTTACTTTATTAACTAAATCAATATACAAATTAAACATTCTTCTTAAACAGTACATATTCTTATATTATAGTAAGTTAAACAAGCATTGGGTATTTGAAAGAATTATTCAATTATATAATAAAATTCAAACTCTTTAGTTTGTTTAAATAGAGATAGTAAAAATATATCACCGCCAACTTTCTTTCTCAGTGGCCGCCGGTGATCTACAAAACTCACCGGAATGTATATCTTCCCTTTCTATGAAACAAAATGGGAAAGCTAAGAACAAAATTACGGTATATCATACTAAAAATAGTATCCATCGAGTTAATCAGTTAAATAAATTCAAAATTTGCAGGTTTTCATCTCCTCTTGTTCCTGGACTGTAATTATAATCTCGTAAAGCACCATCCAACCACGTCGTAGTCACAGAATCTTCGGAGTTCATCGACGGGCTTCCCAGTCGCTGATTCTCCGGCAGTCGTTTTTCCTCATGAAAACTCTGGTTTAAACTCAGATCAAGATCCTGTAACTGGGTCATGTTAGATTGCATCTCACATCCTCGCCGCCGTTTCTGTACCTTCGATCGTGAATACGAGATTGGATCATGATCATGATCATGAAGCTTGAACATGTCAGTACACGTTACGTCTGTTTCCGATGAATCACCGACATCCAGCATCGCTGGATGTCCGTTCAGAAGCTCCGGGATCGGCCTTAACGTACCTCCTCGGAGGATCGTCTCAACCGACGCCTGACACACGTGCCAGTTGCCTGTCCATAGTAGCCCGACGGCGCCGTTCACTGGATTTACAGTCCGGCCAGCCGCTTCAAACAATAGCGATTGAAACAGAGCTGCAAACACAAAACACACGATTCATATTTCATTACATCAGATTCAACAACTATCATGATACTAAGACTAATACATACTCTAACACCGAACTTACATTGACGTTGATGATCAGGAACGGCGGAGATAAAAGTCATCAAGCCAGAACGGCCGAAGAATTTGGCCACGAAGACGGTGGCGTGGGCCTGAGCTTCCGGAGTTTGGATCCACTGTAAACATGGTCGTAGAATACAACTCTCACTACATCCTTTTCGTAGGACTCGACATCCATTGCAACTCATCGTTTAAAACTGCAGTCGAGTAACTCTGGTGATCCACAACCACGACGGCAGAGAAAAGAAGGCTACTTGAGAGTGAAGAAAGGGCAAGATGAAGAAGGAGAATTTGAGGATGAAAATGGGGGGTAAAATGGTGGGATATAAAGGAGATGATTAGGGTGTTTGGGTTAACCATGGTTGAGTTAAAGTGTGTTAGGGTAGTGGGTGGGTGGGTGGGTGGATGATGGATGGAGAGAGAGAGAGTGGTTGGGTTTAGATTCCAAAGTATTGGGCAAGAGCGGCTCCGTGTTTCCGCGAATGGGTGTTCCACAACCGTTGGATTTAACTTTTCTTTTTCTTTTTCTTTTTTGTGTGTCATGGATTTATGCTGATGGACTTTCGCTTTCGATCAAGTGGATAAGTTTCTTGACCGGTTTTATGTTTTAACAGCAACTACATGTTTGATATTGCATTCCACATTTTCAATTTTAAGAATGTTATAGATTTTAGATAAAATTATATAAACGATCCTTGTACTTGGTAAAACATATCATATTTGGTCCTTATGAATATTTATTTATATAAATGTTCTTTATAGTTAACATTGTTAAAAACTCGCGCGTTAAGATTTTGTGAAAATAGTTGATACTTTCATTTAAAAAATCGATCTCTCTGCATAAGTTACAACACATTTGTTTGCAGCAACTAAGTAAACATATATTTTATTCAGATGAATCAATTTTCTAAGTGGATTTCTAACATTCTTTTTGTGAAATGTTCAAATTACTCTTTGATACTATTTTTTTCCCTTTTTTAAATGGTTTAATAATTAAATAAAATGTCTCCATCTTCTCACTCCATGCCTCCATCCTTCCAAAACCACCGTAAAAAAATCATCATCTTCCTCTTGAACTCTGTTTCTCGTCCCTCCATCATTTCTCATATCATCATGTGGAGAACCCTTAACCAGCTGCCTCTGTCTATAATATTATCCTCATTCCCTCACATCACAACTCATTTTGCTCTCATCTTACAAGTTGTTGAAACATGAAGTGACCGTCTTAACTTAGCCTACCGCAGCCCACAAGCATCCGCAGTCAAGCTCCCATCAGCAGCTTCATCCGAAGTCATCTAGCCAACCGCAGTCTTCTTACTTTACTTAGTTTATCTATCTTTCTGTAATACTCTCTATTGTCCAGTATGTCTTGCATGACTACTCTTAGAGAGTAAATCAAATGTAATTCTTTGAGTCTCTATAAATAGAGTTCATTCTCACTTATTCAAT